CTTTTCGTCCATCCTCTTCTTTTGAGTAACTTATCTTTAACTCATTTAATTTATTAAAAATTTTCCCTATTTTCGAGACAAAACTGTCATTAAATACTTCGAAAACTTTACAACTAAACCTTTCAATACTGTCAGGCAAATATTCTAAACCAAGATTAATATCAGCATTATCATCAATATATAAATCTTTCAATTCATTCAAACTTTTTAAATACTCTAAGGAACCAGTAAAACGATTTTTTTTTAGGTTTAAAAGATTCAAATTAACGTATTCCCTGAAAATTGCTAAATCTCCTGAAAAATTATTATTGAACAAGACAATTGAATTCAATTTTTCTTTGTTAGAAGGCAAGCAAAAAACACTCTCTTCTAACTTATTGCTATAACAATTTAAATTTTTAAGTTCTAAATTTTTACTCAAATCAAGAGTAGTTAGTTCATTAGTTGAACAATCAAGAGTAATTAATTTGGAACAATTACTGATGACCAAACTAGTTAATTGATTATTAATGAAAGAAGAGGACAAAAATTATTAAATGATATTGATTTAGACAAGTGTGACAACTTGGTGGAAATTAAGATATTAAGTAATAATTTAACTTCAATAGAATTTTTAGAAAATTTACCCCACCCCAAAAAACTACAAGTTCTCAATATTTCTGACAACAATATACAACCAATCTCCCTAGAATTTTTAGAAAATTTTACAAATCTTAAAACTTTGGATATTGGAAATTCGGGTTGTTATAACCAATTTCATGGTTCTTTGAAACCACTAGTAAATCTCAAAGATCTAGAAAAATTGATTATTGATAATACCGATATTGATAGCGGATTAGAGTATTTGCCTAGTAGTCTCAGGGTTTTTTCTTGCATATCAGACCTTAGAGAAGATGCCAAAGTCAAGTTGATTGAAGAAGAGTTAAGAGAATACAAAGGAGATGTGAACGCTTGACAACTCGCCCACCCGGAAAAAATGCTCATTGCCCAACCCGAATTATTCACCAATCCTGATAGTAAAGAAAAGTGAATAAATGCTTTGGGAGATAAATTAAATTCCTCACCACAGAATAAAAAAACTGGCGGATCTGCTTTTCCACCTCATTTTCTCGCTCATTCTCATTTTTTTTCTTCGGATTTTTGGTGGCTTTTAGCCATTCTTGTCCAAACTTCTTTTTGTTTTTTCTCATAATTTTCTTTTCCTAACTCTTTTTCCTCCTTTCTGGCTTTTTTTAATTTTTCTCTTCACTTAATTATTCCCTTTTCCACCGCAATTTTTTCCTGATTTTCAGGGGTTATTTCTTGCTGCAAAGTACTTTTTAACGCTTCTTCTGGTTTTTGTCATGATTTTCTCTCCTTCTCCTTTCCTCTCAATCTTCAACCTTCTTTCTCCATTTTTTCCTCCACTTTTTTTAATTCTCTTTCCAA